CCAGTGATGCTTAATTACTGAAGCAGGTAGTCTCTCTGTTATTATTTTTCTTTCTAATAATTGCAAATATTTCTTGGCCATGCTTACTTACACCTTTATTTTTCTATTTGAATTGAATTTCAATTCATCAGTCTCCCAGAAAAACAAACACAAGAACAGATGAGAATCTGATTGAAACTGCATTAGATTTATGTATTAAATGGAGAAGTTTGACATCTTACAAAATCTAATCTCCCCAATCTACAAGCAATATACCTCTCTCCATTTATTTAGGTTTTGTTTTATGCTCTTTGTGTTATTTTAATTATGCTGAGGCTTAGGCATTGATTTTTCTAGCTTTCCCCTTGTTATGGTTGAGGCTGGCCTTCTTCCCTCAGGACAGGTAGAGGCAGCTTCAGACTTTCATTAAACACCTTGAGATATATTCTCTTTGTAAGTCATTTAGACATCCCTGTGAAGTGAGATCGGGCCTTTCAATCTTACAGGTGAGGAATTTAAACAGAAGGAACAAAGGAGAGTAATAGTTTTAAATACTTCTGTGTCAGACGTGGATATTTTTACTTAACGTTAAGCAGGTCTATTGTCCCCATTTTACAAATGAAGAATCTGATGTTGAGAGAAGTTAAATGAATGCAACCGAGGCACACACTAAATTAAGAGGAAGAGCTCAAACTCAGGGGCCGGGACTCTAAATCAGTTGTTCTAATTCCCAGTGGCCACTGCTTCCCTGTGGTGCTGTCTAATCCTGTCTGCACTTGTCATTTATCTCAATAAAGTTGACCCCCAGACCTTTTTTCTAGGCAGGCTATTGTTCCTAAGTCTAATTTCTGGACCTATCAGAATGATCCAGAACCAGGTTCCTTCCCAAGAGCCAGTCACAGTGGCTTAGTGTATTCTGTGCTGTTGAACCATGGTCTGGATGTCCAAATGCCTGTGTTACAAAGTACCTGAGGGAAGCCTGGGGCAGGAGGAAGACAGATGGAGGTCAAAATTTTCTCGTATACCTGAGCATTGCTGTTTTGTTATCTGGTTGCTGGGGGTGAGGAACTCCAAAGCCACGTTAGTTTGTGAGGTTTATTATGTGGTACTGCATAACCTAAGGAAGCTATATAGAGGATAAAATCAGTGACTAGGAAGAGGTGTCTGACTTGGAATGTCTTCTCATTGGGCATCCTCTGCCAGGAATGAGCCTCTCTCTAGCAGCAGCCTCTGCTCTCAGTAGGGTTGTCAGAGACTGTGGTGTTCTTGGGTTTTCACATTGATCTTTCATTAATAGAGAATTTGTCATTGATCCTTTGTCCTTTTTGCAAAAACAGGACACCAAGTGCCTGCTTTTCTCAGTTTTTCCACAGTAGGAACTTGGAGAAAGAGGCAGAATGTTCCCCGCTCTTCCTTATTTTGTGTGTGTATGTACGTATTTGTGCATTTAGTGCCTCTGTAGTATCTGATGGGATGGATCCTGCTGCAGAATCTGGGCTCTGGGAGAGACCTCCGCAGCCACCAGCCACAGTCGCTACCTACAGGAAGGTCAATGTTTGAATGGAGCAAAAGGGTTCCAGAATATCTTTGGAGCTTTCAAAGGGGTAGGAGGGAAACTGGGTGGGGTGAGGCTGCAGGTTCTAGATGTTTCACATTCACTTGAAGCAACAGTTTCATATGTTGAGAATGAGTAACCATTAAATAAGGATACCTTCCTCTGGAAAAATTTATAAAAATGCAAATTTAAGCCCATCCCACTTGCTTTCCTAGATTGTTTGGGTAGTGATAATGTGGGTAGAGGGAGGCAGGTCTGAGTGACTGTGAAGGCTTTGGAAATAGGGTTTATATTTTTAAAACTCAACAAGCATCCCTAAAGCAGCCCCATGGTGCCTTCTGGAGTGGAGCAATACAATGGCCGCACATGACCCTGTGGATAACACTGCATTGAATGCCATTGGAAAAGAGGCACAGAGTGGTAGGACAGAGAAAGTAGATGGGCTTCCTGCCCTTGGAGTGGATTATAATCTATTTAAAGAAACAGTCCTCAGTTGTTAAGGTTTGAGGGGGGCCAATACATAGCACCTTCCTTCTCTGTCCATGATCAGGACCAATTGAGAGAGATAGATAAAGATTTACCTACCAGTCACAGGTAGGGCTGAATAACTGCTGGCTTCTCCAACCAGCCATCTCCCCCGTCCTCTGCTTTCCCCCCTAAGATTTATAGAATGGAGGAGCAGAGCAGAGAAAGGGCAAAGCTACACATATCCATTCCTTGTTTCCCACATCACCAACCCAGGAAAAAAGCCCAGAGTGTTACTTTGAAAGCTATTCCTCCACAGGAGAACACCAGAGTAGAAAAAAAGGAGCTTCTTTCCCTCCAGCCCTATAATCACCTCAAGACGAATTCTAATCCAATACATTCTGACTATTATGAATTTTTGGTTCAAGATATATATAGTGTATTTAGATACCAAAAAGGAATTGTCCAGAATAGTGTTTAATCAAGGAGGAGTAGTATTCTGGAAGGAGGTGATGGGCACAGTTTGCTGGAGAGAAGCACACAGCTGTTGAAATGGGGAGAGTTCATTCATGATGAGATTGAACTGTGGGAAAATGAAAAAGACCTCCCAATATGACTAATATAAGACGTGGATTGGCACCATCAACCCCAGTAGTCATAAATGGAATATAAAGTTTAGATGGCACAGCCCCAATTGGCGCAAGTTTCTAGGCAGCAGGTCTAGCTTGTGTAGTGCAGTGATGGCTGCAAGGCTGCAGTGGGGAGGGGGCGGTTCTGGGGATTTTAGCAACATGAGGCTTTGTTATTAGACATTATGAATGGAGTTCCTCTCATCTGATTTATTGTTAGTTTGATAAATTAGGCATATTTTCCAGTTTGCCATCTGAGAAAATGCTTAAGGCTTTCTTTAGAGCAAAGGAAAAGTGTTTTTTGTTGTTGTTGTTGTTTTTTTTTAATAATTTGTTTGCTTTTTGTCTTAACTAGGATACAGTGAAATCTGTAGGGGTGTGGGCTTGATTGCTGTTGATGTTTTCTATTGATTTTTCTGTTGCTTAGTTGAAAATGGTTTAAAATCCTACAAATTCTGAGGAGGGAACTGGGAAAAACAGTAACCCCAAACAGTGGCTAATTCAAATTGTATTCTTTGAGATTTTTGAAATGTTATGCGTGATTTTTGTGTGGTGGATTTTTCTTTCAAAACATGTTTTTGTTAAGTTGGCATTATGGGTCATTATGAAAGTTTGAGCTACACAAAAATCAAGAAACATAAAATCTGTGCAGATGGAAACAAATGAAGCCCTCCTAGCAACACCAATAAGCTGAGCAAGTTTCCTGAAACTGGCACAGGTGAATCAGGAAGGACGCTGTCAACTGTGCCCGTAACATAGGGTGGTCTGTCTTAAGACTTATGTAGTGACCCATGTATAAACTGTTGGTTGTCTCAGAGCACTCAGACATTGACAGCTGAAAATTACGCAAAGGGTATGGAAAGACTGAAATTACCTGTGGATGAATACACAGATAATCAAGATTTAAGGAAAATACATTTCCATTTCATCTATTTGCTGCCTGTTTGTGCATTTTAGGATTATTCCCACTTACATGTGAGTTAAGTGGTGTAGACAAATCTGTAAGCTAGTTTTTGTTATGTTAGACTGACTAATTAAGTCTAATGTTAATCAGGGATGTCTGACTGTACCTGTTGTATAATTAATAGTTTGGTATGATTACGGGCAGAAAGACCCAAGTGACCTCTTGGGGATCTATTTTCATTTCAAAGATTCAGTGAGCTCTCTATCTCATAACATGAAATAATATATGAAAAATACTGAGCACAGTATCTGGCATTAGGAAGCTCTCTAATACTTAACAACATGGGGAAATAGTTACAGTATTTTAATTTGAAAATGGTTGTGAAGTAGTGTGTAAAATGTTATCCTAGTTCTGCAAAATTCAACAAAGAGCTATTAGGTTCTTATATGCCAGATGTTGTTTTAGGAACAGGGATACAAGAACTGGGTAGAGAAGAATATACTGTTGCCTTGAGTCTCATTTAATTTTGTAGCACAGAATAAATTGTTTCTTCTTGCTGTGATGTTCTCTATGGATAGAAAATATTTGTTTACTTTCTTTAATTATTTTTGGAAGCTGGAGAATGAGACTATGTAGGTATTTGGGTATAGTACCTGAGTTGATGCCCTATCTGAGAAGCCAGTCAGATTAGGTCTATCCACCTCCTTTTGTGGATAAGGGCAGCGCTGAGGAAGAACTTATCCCTCCACTTTAGCTCAGGAACAGGGATTGCATTGAAATATATTCATTTCCTAAGGCACTAATGTGACTATTGCCCAGACCTGCTTGTAATCCTCCCTCTCTTAGGAAACTTTGCTGGGGAATCATTGTAGTGATCCTTTTCCTCTTAAGTATCTTATAATTTGTTATCTATGTTATTCTATTAGATCTTCTGGATTTTTATACTGGGGATAGGGACTTAGAAATAGTTTCTGGCCTATGCTTGGTTGAGCATGTGAGCCAAGTTGGTGAATTTCTAAAGTGAATTTTGACACTGGGGCCCTTTAGCAATGGACAAAGTTGGAAATTTGAGTTTGTATAATTTGTTGGCCATGGCAGATAATGCCCCTTGTCCCTTACTTTTTACTTTCCACTATGTGGTCTAAGGTAAGTTTTTAGGTATCTGTGCCTAAGTTTTTTCCGTAAGATCAGGTGGGATTTTTAACCTATTTTCCAATTGTTTTATAAGGGTTAAGAGATCTGTATTTGCAGAGTGATTTGAACAGAAGAAAACTCCCACTGAGTAGTCACTGTGAAAGTTTTTATTCCAGCATGAAGAAAAATAAATGGTGTAATAACCTGGCACTTCAAGGAATGAGACCATTTAAAATGAATTAATGTCTGTACCTTTTCATTCCCAAGTCTTTGCATCCATAGCCCCTCAAATGAGAATGCAAATTACTGACCAACCTTTTGATATTCCTTACAGGGACACCTGTGTGGTTCTTTGTGAAAATTGCTCCAATTCGAAACGAACAGGATAAAGTGGTTTTATTTCTTTGCACTTTCAGTGACATAACAGCTTTCAAACAGCCAATTGAGGATGACTCATGTAAAGGTTTGTAATTCTGATTTGTACAAATACATTTATGCCTTTCTTTTGCCTTTAGTGGGGCTTTCATTACAGAGAATTTGAGGTTGCCAAGGCAATCTCATCACAAAAGATCAAGATTTAAACTTTAATTTGTGTTGTGTAAAGTACTGCATCATTCTGGAATCTATGAGGGGAGGAGAAGGAGAGGGAAAAAAACCACTTTGTTTAGGAAAGCATTTGAATCAATTTCATACCTTTTAAAATTAACCCTTCCCAATATTAGACAGAAGAGGGTAGTTGGGCTACTTGGTATCATCAGAATCTTTTCAGATCTTTACACAAGACAAGTGTCAATTACCCAGAGAAGGTAGTCCATGACCATATTCATCTGATTTATACATGAACTTTCTTAGATTTGACTTGAGTTCTGGCATTTAAGATTGTTAAAGCAGACTTTAGCTTATCTCTGCTTCTGTGGTTGATTAAGTCTGGGGCCAGTTAATTCATTTGGAAAATGACATTAATGAGGCCAGGGTCTTGAGTAACATTACCATATGGTTCGTTTAATGAGTACTGTGACCATAGTTTTTAACACTCACCTCAGCCATATATGCATGTATTGTTTGCATAATGTGGGGGACCTAGGAAAGGTGATGGCTTAGGATTTCTGGAACAACTGTACCTTAGAAGAGGTCCAGATCATCAGGATATACAAAAGAGGGCATGTTATTCCCAGAGGCTTAGGGTTAGGGGTGACACAGCACTTCTTTCACATCACTCCTTCATAACTTGCACGCAAGATAGTCAAGAGGCTGGAAGTGATTTCTTCTTGCAGTACTTCCTGGCTCTGTGGTTGATTTTCCAGTTATTCTTTTACTTATTTATTTTTTTAATTGTTGGGGATTCATTCAGGGTACAAAGAACCAGGTTACACTGCTTGCATTTATTAGGTAAAGACCCCTCATAATTGTGTCCTACACCCACCAGTTATTCTTGAGAACTCTGCTCCTTATGGTTTCCTGAGATATAGCACAGATGAAAGTGGAGTCCAGAGAAGAGTGAAACTGGGACTTATTTTTCTTAATGTGACAAAATGTATATTACTAAATGAGCATTACGGGAGGAAATAAAAAGCATTGTGTGGATGCTTTCTCAGGGGCTATGTTTTCCGAGCGTATTTAAAAAACTGGCATATTTAGACACCCACGTTTATGGAGTTTAGAGCACAGTGCTGTGTATACCAGTGTACCCTATTTTTAAAAACTGTCTGATAATTCAGTAAATCAATTTGAGTTTTCTTTTTGGTTCTAAGACTGCAGTAGATGCAAAGCTGTCTCAGCCTCCGAAGTCTCCCTTTTATTATGCATTTGTGATTGCCTGATTCTAGTTTCTGATTCGAAGATTTCTCAGTGTAATAGGTTTTACGTGGCAATAAGTATTATATGGCATGATTCACTCTTGAGTAAATGTCATCTTGTTACCATATAGAAAGGCTGGTTGGCCTGGCGTGGTGGTTCACGCCTGTAACTTAGAACTCTGGGAGGGTGAGGCAGGTGGATTCCTTGAGCTCAGGAGTTCAAGACCAGCCTGAGCAAGAGCGAGATCCTGTCTCTACTAAAAATAGAAAAAGCTGAGGTAAGAGGATGGCTTGAGCCCAAGAGTTGGAGGTTGCTGTGAGCTATGGTGATACCATGGCACTCTACTCAGGGCGACAGCTTGAGACTCTGTCTCATTTAAAAAAAAGAAAGAAAGAAAAGCTAGTTGCTTTTTTTAACCTAATAAATTCATAAATAATATTTTATTTTCATTTCATATTAATGTGAGGGTACAAGCAGTGGGTTACAATGTTTGCATTTGTTAGGTAGAGTCCCTCTTGTAGTTGTGTCCCACACCCAAGAAGTATGCCTTACATTATGCCCAGTAAGTGGGAGCACCATAAATAACATTTTAAAAGCAACTGGATATTTTTGACACTCATTTTTGTATGTTTTTTGCTAAAAATTTAAGATATGTGATTTGGTTGAGTCAAAATGTTTTCTTTTTATCACATTGGAACCTTTTTACATGACTTGCAGATGTTATTTAGCAGGACAGGCATACCTAACGGAGAATGCTCCTTGCCTGCCACCTATGTGCCAGTGTTTGATTCTCATGAAATTTGAAAGGTGATAAATCAGAGTGATGTAATGAGGCTCACTTAGGTTTATTTTCCAGGAATAAAATGTTCCACTTCGTTTAACCTGCCTCAGTGATGCATTTCTTTGCTAACAGGTTTTAGTACACACCCATACCCACATACACACACAGAGACCTTCATGAGCACACATACAATTTATCTATTCCCTAGGGGAACCAAGTATTAATTCACTTTGTCAGTGAAATAGCTAGGAATAACTTGTGGCTTAATGTGTAAAATTTAAAACACACACATGCACACACACACACACACACATACACTTTGGTACTTAACGTAGAAATTCTGCTAGTAGACCGCTTAATGTCTATTCAAAGATGTGACTTTATAAGCCTGTCTGTTTCAAATGCCATGGCAGATATGTTTAAATTCTCCCCACTTGTCATGTCACCATGGCCCTGGCCCACTGTGTTTTGGTGGTCTGCTTAGGTCAAAGGCATATTTTATATTAGTACGTTTATGATGGAATCACAGGATAATTCTCCAGGCCTTGTTAGTTTTAAGTCTATAAACTGCAGTTCTGGCTGCAAGGATCAAATCTAGACCCTAGAAAATATGCTGCTGTGTGGTTGGATTGTAATCCTGGCTTGACATTTCTTTTTGGATGTGTTCTTAACAGCTTGTTTCCAGCAGACCAGCTGGGTTTTCAGTACAGCACCTCAGTCAGCATTAAAAGCTCAAGAGTCTTGCTGATCCAGGCTTGTTTAAAATTCACTTTTGAGATGGAATGGGATGGTGGAAAATCTAAAACCCCAAAAATTTTCAGATAATTATTCTGTAGCGTAGCTGTGGCATGTCTTCCCACCATCAGATTAGTCTTTTAAATCAATTGTGTTGGGTGGCGCCTGTGTCTCAGTGAGTAGGGTGCCGTCCCCATATAGCGAGGGTGGTGGGTTTGAACCTAGCCCCGGCCAAACTGCAACAAAAAAATAGCTGAGCGTTGTGGCAGCATCTGTAGTCCCAGCTACTTGGGAGGCTGAGGCAACAGGATCACCTAAGCCCAAGAGCTGGAGGTTGCTGTGAGCTGTGATGCCAAGGAACTCTACCGAGGGTGACAAAGTGAGACTCTGTCTCTAAAAAATAAATAAATAAATAAATAAATAAAAATAAATAAATGAATTTGTGTTTCAAATTGTTTTTTAAATTACCTTGTTTTCTATGATCATATGATGAATGTCTGACTTTGGGACTCAGGAGTGGGATGGGTATATCCCGATAGTGGTGAGAGAAGCCAGTTTGTAGGTAGTATTTTCTCACAGAACACTTACAAAGGGGCTAGCACATGGGATAATTAACAGGGGATTATTTTAGCAACTGAAACAAAGTAAATCCCTTTTACCCAGAGCCTCAGGCACAGGCCCTGGGCCCTGGGAATGGTTTTTGAGCCACCGCTATCATTTGATGAATCAGTTCTCACAGTCCTTTTATGAGTTATCCAGGCCTCTGACTTCCTCATCTTTTGTCTGTCTTTTGACAAATTCTCTTAGTAATGAAAGTCAAAGTCAAGCTAGGTTTGCTGTTTGGTAGCAGCTCTACCCTGTGTGTGTGTGTGTGTGTGTGTTTTTGAGACAGAGTCTCTCTTTGTAGTCCTTGGTAGACTGGTGTCACAGCTCACAGCAACCTCCAACTCTTGGGCTTGAGTGATTCCCTTGCCTCAGCCTCCCGAGTAGCTGGGACTACAGGTGCCCGCCATAATTACCTGGATTTTTTTTTTTTTAAAGATGGCGGTGGGGGGGGGTCTTGCTTTGGTTTAGGCTGGTCATCAACCCGTGAGCTCAGGCAGTCCACTTCTCTTGGCCTCCCAGAGTGCTAGGATTATAGGCGTGAGCCACGGCTCCTGGCCTCTGTGTGTGTATGTTTTTAAAGACTAAGGAAAGATTAGGTAGGAATTCTTGGCTAAAATGAGAATCTGTGATACTCCAGTGGTTTCATTTTTTCCCTTATCTCTTGCTTTTTTGTTATTAAAGATAATTGGGAGTAGCCTGCAGGATATGTTTCTCTTCCATTCTGCCTTCTGAGGTGGCTTGGGCAAATGGATAGAGAATAATTAAAGTGTAAGGCTCAGAGTTCTCTTTCTCTCTATTGCTCACCAAAAGATGAGTCACCCTTCTTGTTTTCTCTCTTGCCACCAAGTAATCTCTCATATTAAAGGAACAAATTCACTTTGAAAGATCCATGTTATTTACTTCTAAATTTAGAGTTAGGTTTGAGCCAAAATCAGGCAAAGAAAGGAATATAAAGCTCTAGCAGAGATTTTTAAGAGCCAAAGATTTAGAATATTGAAGGATGAAGGCTCTGACAGGCTGTTGTAACTGCCAGTGCTTCTCCATATGTACTTGTGTGGGATATATTTATAAGCCACCCTTGGGAAAGATGCAGAGTAATGATATAAGTCATAGGTTTCCCTCCCCTGTAATAGTATTATTTTATCTCTGTGCCTTTAGGATCATGGAAAAATGATGATTCAGTGACTGCTACTTGAAGAAGCTATCCTAGACTTTTGGTTATTTGAACATTGGTGGGGAAAAGATTATGGAGGGAGACTTGAGGACACTTGGGCAGTGATCCACACTGACTAATCATCCTTTATCCACTGTTCTCTGCTAGATATTAGGTGATGACATCAACTATGAGAATGTATGCCTTTGTATCTCCAGACATGGATGGTCTCTGTCTTTTCTATTACTCCTGGACTTACCCTCAGAGGAGCTAGAATCCCAGAACTATCTCTTCTTACCTAAAGGGTTGGATACTAAAGTAGCCTCTGTGGTGGCTCAGCCAAGTTGAAACGCATTTCATCCATTGCGGGGTCAAGGCAGAGAGGAAGTAG